TATCCCGCTTGTTACTCGGCTACTCGCCAAATAAATACGTAAGTGGACATAAAACATTGATTTTAGTTTAATTTATAGTATAGTATTACCTGAATATTATCTAAAAGCTTCTGCTAAGAACAAAGTAGTCCATTACAATGTACAAAATAATTCGCTTTAACAGCTCTGCGAGGAGTACAGACAGTCTGACAAGCGGAGTATTTTGAGCATTAGACTAACACTGCAACATTATAACATAGTAAATACGGAGTCCTCTGAGGTCATTTGCGAGGAATGATGTCGTCAGTAGCGTCTGCATGAAACAGGAGTGAGCAAATCTGCAGTGCGACAAGATATTCTTTGGTTATGGAAGGAATTTCCCATATAGGGCTTTAAAAAAGTCTTAGTTAAAGAGTTATAAGCCCTGAACCCATCCAACCAGCTATGAGGTGAATCAAAATATTTCAAGCCTGATTTTTATTTTCATTCGCGGAATTATCAACTTTATGCGAGTTGTACTTCAGCACCCTTGACAGGGCACAGCGCAGATGAAAACAGTGTTTGAGGAGACTGTGAGGCTGTCAATCACCACGCCGGTGTGGATAGTTTCATTCAGAATCACAGATTATTCTTTTTGGAAGTATGACCAACTTAATAATTTTCACTGGAAAATGTCATCTGAACTAGTAAGAAACATCCACTTTTGTTCTTGTTCTTACATTGCAGTAAATCATGCTGATTAAAAATAAAAATCGCTTTTAAGTTCATATCACGCAAAATAAATAAATAAATAAATTATACTTTGTTGTATAAACTATAAATCTCCACCTCCAACATCCTCACTCGCAATATAGCCTACTAGCTGAGACTCCTTTGTACAGATGTGACGTAACGACGGAAAGACATGCTCAAATCTCCCGCGGAAATCCACCAGTACCACTGGAATTAAAAACATTATTACAAGCTTACCGCTTTGAATAGGCAAAGCAAGCAGATGACTGGTTATGAATTTTCTCAAATATGTATTTTGGATCATTTTTAACTCAAAAAAAGCAAGGATGATGCAATTAACCAACCAGAACTAAGTATTCCAGAGAGCTGTGCATAATAAGACATAGAGTGCTCAATGATGGTTTTATTACATGACCGCTTTAAGACAACTCTCGAAAGTAATGCATGAGTCACAAGAGGCAGACAGAGATGGGGATGAAAACATGAGCTGTTGGTTGGGTGGTGTCACAAAATAATACGGAAAAGAGAATCAGTTGAATCAGCAGAGGTTACACTGGTACGGCAAATTATATGATTAAGGAATATACCGTAATAGAGGAACAGAGAAGTGAATCAGTTTCCCTTGAAAATTAGCCACACTTAATACTGTTTTTGCTGAACTGTGTCTTATTTACAGAAGAAGAACGAACTAAAAGAGAACATCTGAGGCAGATATAAGCTGACAGAGAAAGACCTAACGCACGTTTCATCGTGTGGCGAATGGCCATTCATAGGTAACTGACAGCACTCGACTGCTAAAGCGCCAGTTAATAAGACCAGTATGTAACTGGTAGATTGCAGCCATCTTGGTAACAACCATTGGCAGTTATTTTTATGTTGTTAATTTTATTTTGAACTACAAATACAAGTGCAGACCAAAATCTCTGAAACTGTTTACCAAAGTTAAATTTCAATATATTTCAGATCTGCAATACAATTGGAGAACCGGGGTTACATAAAGCCAATCGAACGAATGACCAACCAACTGCCAAAACTACAAAAATTCTCCCAATAATTTTATGAGTGGTTCAACTTTTGCTGTTACTGTGTTAATGTATTTGGTTGCATAAGTCTTAAAAGGGGTTAAAAAGCTTCCATTATCTTTTACTGTAGACGTCAAAAGCAGTGCAATCAAACTCTATCGTATGCGTCAATTAGTAATAATTAATACTAAGAAAATATTTGTCCCAGTGTTTATTCCATGTGTTAGACTTGTAAATTACTCAACCTATGTCATGTTAACAATTTTGCATATTGTTGTGCCTTATGATAATTTTTTATAGAATTCACATGTCAATTTTGTTCAAAAACTATTTTGGTAAGGTGTTGGGTTGTCATTAGTTGTCCAATATTAAATCTGTAAAAGAGCGAAACCAGTAGAAAACCACTGATCTAACGTGCCGTTTGTCTCCTAATGACTGTGGGGCATCCATGACTGTCATCAAAGCAAAATCTCTAATGTGACAGTCAAATACTAACCACTGACATAATAACCATATTAACCTGATATCACACCCAAGACGGTAAAAACATGACCTATGCATAGGCATTAAAAAGCTTCAAAGAAAATCTCTTTGTGTAAAGACATGGTAGAAAGTACAGACAGTGATTTCTTCTTGGATCTCTTCGTATTGGAATCCTGGAAGTCTAATACAGGGTTTCTTGCATCTCCGTAGGGGGTTAAAGCTGTTTTTCTGTCTCTCTTCATGATCTGATTCCCAACAAAGAGCCGATTAAGGGCCTCTCTCTCTCTCCCTCTCTCTCTCTCCCTGTACTCAACATTCTCTGGCTAACATAGATGATGTCACTAACCCGATGCGGTCCCCACGACTCAACAATAACAAGGTCATCTGGGAGGGGTGGGGTGGATGTGGGGGGTGTTGCAGAGGGGAAGAGAAGGAGGTGGCAGTGCTCTTTGTTTCACATTTCATCTGCAGTGGATTTTTTTTCATCAACCACCCCACCAGCACACCCCCACCACCACAGCTTAAACCCCCCATTTTTCTTTGCCATCACTTGCCTCATGTGACATGTAGGGGGCGATGTTCAGCAAACCCTGAAAGCTGTGCTGAAATCACTGGATGCTGCAGCGTATGTGTGCGACACACCGAGCACAAAGTCTATACACATTTATGAGTACAGCCTGAGTCTTTCAAGAGCTGGATACTTTGAATCAACATGACAAAACAAATCATCCATTATTATATAAAAAAATACAGATGTCTCTGCAACTAAAAGAAACCGGTTACAAAATATGAAATGCTCCTTGATTTCCTGTGCTATTGAAAAAAGCCTTAAAACAAATGCTTGATCTTATCTGGAGTATGCATGGCATTTACCAGTATTAACAGTAGAGACAGTAACACATTTTCTGTCACATCTGAAGTGAAGATAAGCACTCTATTAAATCCTCAGACTCTATTTTTTTTAAACCTTTGAAAGATGCAATTCCCTCCTAGTTCACATTCGCACCATATATGAGAGTGAGAGACTGATGAATAATTGATGGAGGAGGCAAGATATGAATGAAAGAAGTATCCCAATTAGCTGGAAGTCTCTAGAACACCATTAAATCATATTAAACTCTATATTTCTGCACAGGAAAAACCTGTTAACATGTTCCTTCCAAATTCTAAACATTTCTCAATCACAGAACAAAGGCTACTCTCTCTCTCTCTCTCTCTCTCTCTCTCTCTCTCTCTCTCTCTCTCTCTCTCTCTCTCTCTCTCTCTCTCTCTCTCTCTCTCTCTCTCTCTCTCTCTCTCTCTCTCTCTCTCTCTATATATATATATATATATACACACACAATATATATATATATGAAGAGTTCAGATGCAAAAGCCTCTAAATGCCATTTGAAATTTTCTTCTTTAATGATGATTATCAAACTTGTATATTTAAGTTCAGTAAATTCACTTAAATAGCAATTAATAGGTAATTATCATTGCCATTTACATGTAAGTGAAATATATATACATTTTTTTTTTCATTTTCATTTTTTTTTTTTACCAGGAATTTGCTATGTTAAACATTAAAAAAAAAAAAAAAAAAAAACTTACTTAAATAACAAATAATGTGGACTAGTGGCTTCAACAAGTTATAGTTCAAAATGAATGGAATTTTTACTTCAGGAACTGGACTGTTGGACTCTATGATATGTCTTTCTCTTCTCCATCAATGTGCTAAATCAGCAGGAAAGCCATCAGTCAGGACAGAGACAGTTGGATGCCAATGAAACACATGGTTAGCTAACTAAAATAATGCTGAAATTAGTGTCTAAACTAAGTCTTATTATCAGTATTAGAGAATAAAATCTAAAACAAATTTGCTTTGTATACCAAAAGCTACATGAATTGTTTTCAAGCTGCTTGCTAGCTTAAGCAAGCTTTAGCTTCTTCCAAAACTCAGCCTCAATTAAACATTTTTATTCTATTCTTAAGCACCTTTGTGGCTAAAAAATCTTTCTTAAAACAGTTGTTACGGACTTTAAATGCATGCACATGTCATCGAAACACTAAATAGGTACTTGACAGGCTAAAAAGGAGGATATGGATCAAGTACATCCCATTAAAATCACATTATGTTCTTACTGTGCTATTACAGAAACCATAATAAATGCACCCATTTGTTATGCAAATGCTCTGCTTTCGAGAAACTTTGCATCTTGATTTTGGATCCATGAATAAGAGAGTGAAGATGGAAGGCTAATGCAATAGATGCTAGTTCATTAAATGTGCACTTTGGGCTGTGGGAGAAGACAAACTACTGCTCATGTAGGTGCATGAGTGCGTGTTGGAGTGACATGGCTATTGCTCATAAAGATGGGGAAAATAATGGCTGCTGCCATATGGTAGTTAGACAAGTGATGAGTGGTAATTATAGTCATGCTTTTATGTACAGTATAAAGCTAGTATAGCCATTTTTATACCTTATTCATTAAAAAAGCTGATGCATGGAAGACCATGCCACGATTTTGTTTTCCTAGCAATACATTTTCTATCAGACTTTTAAAAGCTAACTTGTGAGGCTTACCAATAACATACTACCGTTCTAAAGTTTGGGGTCAGTAAGATTTTTTTGTAGTTATTTCATTGTGAAATATAAATACAATTAAATAAATGTGTTTCGAATATAAATTTTTGTAACATAAATGTCTTAACTGTTACTTTTGCTGAATTTAATATATTCTGGGTCAATAAAAATTCATCTGTTTTAATATTAACAAAATCTGTGAATGTGTTTATTCATACCTCCTCTGGCATGCTGAGAACCAGTTCATTGTCACTTTGGGTGACGAACCCCTGTAGGAAGTACTCGCTGCAGGCCGCTAGGACAGCCCTGTGCGCGCGGAACTCCTTGCCCTCCACCAGCACGGTCACATCACAGAGCAGGCCCTGCTTCCGCTGCTCATTCAGACCCAGCAGGATGTTGGTACAGTGCACTGTCGACTCATACACGTACATGGGAGCTTCAGACTTCTCATCCACGGACATACCGCTCACACCCTGTGCAGAAAGAGACAGACAGACATAGCGGGGTCAACTTATGCCATCCAGATGACCGCAGCAGTGCAATACAATGCATCCAAGCCTTGTCCACATTGAACACTCTTTAAAAGTGAGTAAAATTACGCTTTGAAGAGAAAATAAAATGAGCTAGAAATAGAATAAATTTCAAATCTGAAGTTGTTTTATCTGCTATAAGTGACATAAGCCAATGAAATCGAAATTGAATACCGATGGAAGTGTTTGTGTTTACATTGTACACAGTTCTCTGATCTTTTGGAAGCAGCTTGTAAGTGACTGTCGTGATTTGTGCATCTAACATTTTGGTCTCTCTAAACCCTTTTTCCGAGAGCCTACTCTGCTCTGATTGGTCAGACAGTCCAGTCTGTTGTGAGTGGTCTACTGTATACAGCATGTATCCGAAACATTACATTTACCATATCTAAATTTTCATTTTAGAAGGAGGGTCAAGGTAGACATTGTTCATGTGCAGCCAATAGGCTGGCATTATGCATTTACATTACATTTATTCATTTAGCTGACGCTTTTATCCAAAGCGACTTACAATTACTATATATGTCAGAGGTCGCACGCCTCTGGAGACACATTGGTGTCTGACAGGATTTGAACCCAGGTCACTCACACCAAAGGCATGTGTCTGGTCCACTACAACATCACCACCCCAATTATGCAAATTTGTTACTTTTCTTATGTAGCTGAAGTGAGACTTGAATTACTGACAATTTTTTCAGCAGTTCAGAATCGAATCTTTCTTTTAGGAGACAAAAAGTATAATTGTTGTGCATTTTGATCTTTAAAACTTTTTAGACCTTTTACATTCACAAACAGCTATATTACACTGCATGAAATGTAATATTCGCAAAAGCATAATAGGGGCACTGGAATATGTTTTAATGAACTAACATAGCCTACATTAACAATCAGCAATGGTATTAATTTAATTAATTATATAAATTGAATTAATATTAATCAGTCCAGTAAAAATGGTTGTTTATTGATAGTTCATGACACCTAAGCATTAACTAATGTTAATCAACAAAAACCTATTTTAAAGGGTTCCCGTTTTCTCAAGGTAATTTTGCATCCTGGCTTCAAAGCTCAACAATCTCACTGTGGCCACCTCCTCAAAGATGCCACCTACAGAAAGCAAGTGCACAACCACAAACAAAAACAAAGCCCCAAATCCTCCCACACGACCAGTGTGGAGATCAGCTGCTGTCGCACTATTCACACTCTCTCATTTAACATACACCCCCACGTAAGCAGGTACACGTTCACACTTTAGACAATGATCTTATGCGTATACACAGATTAGCTGGAGAAGGTGATTTAGCTGTCAAAACAGTGGGGTCTCTGCTATCGGTTCTTTTGTAGGAGGCACACAGAGAGATGCTGGTGCATGTGATCTTCAGACAACCAGTCACAAAGATTACCTTGAGCTCTTTTTCCCTTTCCTTTCCCCTTATTTCACCCATCAAAGCAGCTCAACCGGTGGATGTGTGATTAGGGACTTAAGTGTCTCTGGATTCTGGATCAATTGTGTGTAAACAAACCTGTCCTGCCCCCGTACCTCAGGTCCTGTATCAGAAACCTTCGACAATCGCTCCTCACAATGATGCGTTTAATCTCATCAGACCGGGAGTGGGGATTCTCGTCAGATCGGCTGCCTTCTGGCTGCCAAGTGAATATCACTAACCTCAAATTAGCATTCTGCCCTGCAACTGATTTGAATAGGTGCAGATTGAATATGACGAGTCAGGAGCAGGAATCCTCTCAAGGAATTTTATTTTCAATATTGCATGATCTCTGAACATATACAGTACCAGCCAAGACAAATCCGTCCATTTAGAAAGAATTGAAAGAGAGAGATCGGCATGAAATTGCTACCCCGTGCCATGCTAAACCCTGGGGTAAAAGTAACTTTAGAGACTTGAGATGAATTCAGCTTGCCATTGGCACATGACCTGCTTTAATAACACAAAGTAGAATACCATAGGCTAAAAATATCACATGGTTCAATAAATATACAAAAAAGAGCTGTGGTATCTTATTCACGACAGTTTACGATGTGTTGTCACAGTTTAACATATATATATATTATTATATATTCATAGTACAAAATATAATAAATTATTTTATTATATAATAAAATGACACATTATATTATGTTGACACTTTCATTTCATCAAGTACCATAGTATTAACGTGGTACTCCAAAGTACTTCCAAGAAATTCCTTGATACTGGACCAAAAATACATGCAGGCATTTTTTTTATGCTGTACCACTGTCAAAAAAACCCAAACATGGTAGACTCATGCAACCTTGTCTAAAAAGCCACAATACTTTGTGGCACACAATTTCAGAAGCTTCTCCCCCCTGCAATTGCAAGCACAAATGTTGCATTGCTCAGGGTTAAAGTGCATTTAGCCTGGGGTTTAAAAAGCTAAACAACCAAGGTTAAGCACAGCATGAAAAGACATACAGAAAAGAGGATGCTTAAGCTCTGAATCAGACAGATTTAAACTGCTTTAGAAACTACACAATCTCTACTTTCAGTCTCTGCTAGTAGTCTTTTCCACAACACACTGAGCTATTTAAGTTGTCCGGGGACAACTTCTGCTTGCGGAATGATCGGCGCATGACTAAACAATTCCTACAGAGCTCTAGTGGCAGCCAACACTGCTCTTTCCATCCCCGCTGAAGCCAGGGCTGCCCCTGTCTGCTCTGCTGCGGTGAGGATTGTGCAGCCAGTGCTCCTCCCTGTTCCCACAGCCACCACTGACTGCACCTTAGGCAAACTCTGACCCACAGAGACACAGGCCTGAGATTTCTTACCCTTGTCATCTTGATTTAACTCCTGACTGGGCAAAATTGTACAGACGAAACAGACGGGCGCAAAACCTCAAAGCTCGGCTCCACAAGGCAGGTTGCATGCGGTGGATATCGTAGGGTTCCTTCAATCAGAGCGAGCCTGTGAAAGCCGTGAGCCTTGACGAACACTGATGGTTTAATGCAGCGCAAATTAAAACATGAAAGAGGAAAGTTGTCCTTGGTCATTGGAAATGGCTGCGTGTGCAAATGGAAACTCCTCAACCAAGAGAATGGAATCAGTGGGCCCGACGCCTCCCTTTCTTTCTCTCTCTTTCTTATCTCTCTCACTGAGTCTCAGAGAAATTCAAACCACACGGCATGTGGGTTCAGGGATCCTATACTGCAGTGTGTGCGTGTGTGTGTGGGAGGGACACTTTGGTTACCATGAAAAGAAAGAAAGCGAAAGACAAAGAAAGGTGGCTATAATGCATCTGTGCAAAGCACCAATCACATCCATAAGAAGCAACGAATTATTTTAACCCTTAAATGCATGAATGTTTCACCAATCATTATTACATATTTAGGTGTTTAGCGACCTGGATCTATTTCTGACATGGATGGATGGTGTCACGATAATATAAAACTCTCCTGATATTAGAGTAACAATTACAGAAGAATAAAATAAAGCGTATTTTGTTACAATTTCGAGGGTTCAGTTTGAGCACATGATTTATACCATCATCACTGTCCATGTCAGAGATCATTTCCCAGTACATTCAGCATCTGGCTCATATTCTCGATATCAAACATATCCTCAAAACTAGAATTCTCAACATCTTCAAAATCAATATTTGGATTGCTGACAGCTTCTTCACCAAATCCACTGCAGTGACAGCGAGACTAATATTTGATTGCATTCAGTACTTGCTCTGCAGTAAATCACGGAGCCATTTCAAGTTCTGCTGATAATAATTCCTATACTTTTGTTTTCTGCCTGCGGTAAAAAACGTCACTTTATCGTTGTGTATTAAGGCCAATTTATTCTTCTGCTTGGGGTGCGCGCAGTAGGTACACCGTAGCTTACGCACAGATGCATACCATACCGTGTACCCTTCGCCATAGCCTAACGCGCACCTCCTCAAAAATGTAACTACACGTTGCAACGACGCAGACCACAAGATTGGTGATTGGTCGGCTTGGTAGCATCGCATTTCCTCCTACGCATTTCCTACCATCTCCTCCAACGTCTTCTCTCGTTTATGCCTTTTAGTTTTAGTAATTTCACAAAAATGAACTGTTTTTCCTCCTCAATAAGCTCCAACTCCAACATGATCCACTCTCTTTCAGTCGCCATTGAAACCTTCCACCGCCAACTAGCGTTTAGGAGCAGTAATGCAGAGCAATCAGGTCTAAATGCTCACGACGGCGTCGCCTACGTGCGTAGGCGCTACGGCGTTCCCTCGACGCAGGAGTATAAATTGGCCTTTAGACATTGCTACCTTGTGGAATAAAGGTTATTTGCACTATTATTCAGTCATCAAAGGTTCAATATGGAAGTCTATGTCAGCCCATAAAATAGGATTATACAGCACAAGCAGATTAGTTTGATTCCTGAACTACTGTTTCTCATAAGAACCGGTCCTTTTAATCAAATCCAAAACAAACAGAACAAACAGTCTGTTTTTGATTCACTACAAAGAACCAGTTCATGAGATTCAGTTGTTTTTGAATTCGATTGCACTGGTTGCGTTGTATGTTGTTTTGCGCCACAGCCTGCAAGGACAACTCAATAATAAAACAATTCTTGTCAGCAGTATTTTACAGTATGCAGCCTTTTTCCAGCACAATCAATACAGTCAGCAAACTCACATTCAAAACAATTTCTTTTGCCGTGTGACTGAAGATTCAGTAGCAGAGGATTCGAACTGTGAGATTTGAAAGAGCTGTACCCTATAAGATTGTGTCCTACATTCCCAGACATTTAGAGTAACAGTCCAACTGGTCACTCCAATTATTGTTTTTTATTTTGTTTCTTTTCCTCGCTCTAAATATGTTTTCTATCCTGCCTTTGGTGGATAATGACCTGTCTTCCAAGAATAATGTTTCCAGATGTGGTTGCAAGGTTCATAAGATGCCAAACACACTATTTCAAAATTGGAATGTGCTT